GCCACTTGGAACTCCCGGGATCCCGCAGCGGAATGGGGCTGCGGGGGCAGCGCCCAGCTCCGGGGGGGCTTCTCCGCCTGCTCTCCCGCTGCGGGATGACGGATGCTGTGGAGGATGACACCATCAGCCTCCCCCCATCCCGGGCGCTGAACTCTCCCAACTCTCTCCACGTCCTGGACCTTTTATTGGGAGCACTTGAGCCAAGGAGAGACTGAACTGGGGAACTCCTGGTTACGGAGCAGATGGATTTAATTAAACCCACTTAAGTCATTAAAGTGATTTGCCAACTAAATCAGCACAGCGAGAAACCTCCCACCAATTCCACCCCCCACCCCCCCTCGGGTTTGTCCTTTTAACCCTTTCCTTGGGGAAGAGTCACGGGAGCAGTGGCCGGGTTCCGGTGAGGGTGGAAGAACCCAGGGACAACCGTGTGTCCCCAGTGCCTCGGGGGGCTCCGGGACCCCGCGTGCGGCCGTCCTGGCACGGCGGCTTTGCTGCGGGACATCCTGGATTCCATCCCTGACTGGGTCCTGCTCGTGCCTGGAGCTCTGCCTTTCCCTGGACATGAGCTCGCTGCCCGGCGGGTCCCGGCGCTCAGTCCAGCGCTGCCCTTGGTCACCCGACCCCGGAGAGCTCCTCTTTGCTGGCTCCCGGCTCCCGGCCCCTCGCAGCGCCCGAGGGAACATCCCGTCACGGCTCCGTGAACTCAGCACCCCCCAAATAGCCCGGCCCCCGGCGGGAGCGCTGCGGCCCCGGCTCCGGCCCGAGGATGATCTTACAGCCCGGGAAGCTCCAAACCGCCGCTCCTGCCCATAAAAAGCAAAGGGCTTTGGGCATGGAATCATCGGGGCTGCACGGATTACACCAGCGGGGGGGAAACGCTCCTGGGAGGCCACGCCATAGGAGAGGGGAGAGAGGAAAGGGGAGAAGAGAAAGGGGAGAGGGCAGAGGGAGCAAGACAGGGAGTGGTCAGAGCCCCAAAATGTGGCTCAGTCCTGGCACCAGCCCCAAGGGTCTGTAAAACACACCCAGAGCTTTGTTCCCATCATTCCACTCCTCAGCCACCTCATCCCAATGGGAAAACACGACTCAAACTGTGCCCCAGAATGAGTTATCGGGAACACAGACAGGGTGGCAATCCCTTATTTTTCTGATTGCCCCCAAATCCCGGGCTATCCCATGCCACTGGCTCTGGAGACCACCCTGGGGTGCCAGGGAGCCAGGAAAAGCTGAGGAACAGACTGGGCACCTCCACGGCAGCAGAACCCACCTGGCTGCAAGAGGCCACGTGGGCAAGTCCTTCCCATTGGGAAACCAAGCTTTCCAGGCAGGAAGAGGAACATCACCTCAAGGTCCAATGGATAAAATTGGAATTTAATTAAATTAAGGAGACATTTGCAAAGCTAGAACAGCCAAACCTGCTCCCAGTGACACGACATGCTGCTCCCCATCCGGACACACGGAGACACCGGTCCCTCCAGCACCTCCCAGGCCACAGCCAGGCCCACTTATCCACAATTCCCAGGAACGAGGGTTTTCCTCTCTCCTCCTCCTTCTCTGCCGGGGCCCCCTCAGCCGGCCGTGGGGCCGGTCCGTGTGTCCGGGTGCAGGCGGATCTCCACCAGCCGGACAGCGCGGAGCAGCACGGCCAGCTGGGAGCACACCCGGGCCACCACGTCCAGCACGGGATCCGCCAGGTCCCGGATGCCCCCCAGCACCTTCAGCAGGAAGAGCAGGAGCGGCTGCAGGAGGCTGTGGAACGCCGCTGCCAGGAGGGGCTTCAGGACGTGGTCGCCAATGGCTGTCAGGACACCGACCACCAGCGCCTGGATTTGGGATGAAATCCTGGGTTTGAGGGATATTTGCCAGTGGGAGTCACCAAAAATGGGCTGAGACACAAAAATTCCGCTATAGGAGGGGAAATTTGGGACAGCAGGAACCGGAAGTTTCTTCTCCTGACACTGAAGGATTTTGGTGTCCTCAGCCGCTGCTCCGGCCACATCTCCACGGGAATGGGGCGGCTCACCTGGACCACGGCCTCGCCGAGGAAGCGGATCAGCTCCACGAGGAAGAGGCTGACCACGCTGACCAGGCACCGCGGGACGGAGAAGAATTCCCGCAGCTTCCGCTGAACCGTCCACTCGGAGCTGCCATGGAGAGAACGGCATGTCAGAGCCGGAGCACTGACCCGCTGAGGGAATGAATCCCAAAGAGGATCCAGCACTGCATCCCGGCTCCACAGCCCAGCCACAAAATTTGGGATGAGAAAGCGCTGGAGCCATGTTTCCACAGGCTCTCCCTGTATGGCCAAACCCAGCTGAAGTAGCCCCAAAACCAAATGCATCGGGTTGGCACCCAGAGCACAGCTGGCCGGGAGCCCGGGAAGTGCCAGGCCAGCTCCAGGGAATCCCGTCCAACACCACCCCGGGAGCGGCTCCGGCGTGGGCAGGGCTGAGCCCGGGGCTCCCTCTCACGGCCACGAGGCGATCCGGGAGACACATCCCAGTTTCTGTTTCCAGAAAAACACGAGGTGCAGAGGGCGGACTGTGCCAGGCTGGGAGGAAACCCCGTCCCGCCGGTGCCCCGTCCATCCTGCCCGCGGGAACGCGGCAGCGGAGCCGGTTCGGGGGGGAAGGAGCGACTGGGGGAGCCGCGGGGCAACCCAAACCCCGAGGTTTTCCCCCGTTTTGTTCCCGTGACAGAACTCCCGGAGTTCCGGCCCAGACGTTCAAGGCCCTTCCCACCCGGGGTCCCGCTCCACAGAAACTCCCTCCTTGCAAGACCCAAGCAGACACCGGCGTGGGATCCTTGGGGAAATATCCCCTCAGCATCCCACAATCGGCGTCTTTTGTGCCTTTCCCCGTCTGGGATCAAGCCCCGTCCTGCGGCCGGATTCACCCGGGCTGCAGCTGCCCCTCGGGATCAGCCGGGATCCCAGGAAAAGGAGGGGACAGGGCAAGGGCAGCCGGAGTGGTGTGACGAGCCGCAGAGCAGCGATCCGGCTGGGAATCCACCGGGACTCCTGCTTCTGTCCCCTGGGAATCCACCGGGATGCGACCCCCGCCCCCCAGGAATCCCTCGGGAT